GACGAAAGGGGGGGGGGGGGGGGGGTTGTGGAGATGCCGCGGAGGGAGCCGGCGTGGGGCCGGGAGCTGCTCGGGGGCGTCCCGCGGTGCAGTTTGCGGAGAGTTGCGGAGAGGGCTGCGGACGAGGCAGGCGCAGGTCCGAGGGGCCCCCGGCGCTCCTCTCCGCGTGGTCCCGCCGGCGCTTGGGCCCCCGCTCCCCGCGGGCAGAGAGCGCTCGTATCGGGGAAAGGGCAGCCGGCCCGGGGGTGCGGGAGTGTCCTTGGCCGCGGTGCGGGAGGGATGGCGACAAACCCCCGGCTCCCCCCGCCCGCCCGTGCCGGGAACAATTGCAGGAACTTCTCCTTTACCCGGTGTCCTGACCGCACATGCAGTCTCAGCAGAGGTGTGAGAGGAGGGGGCTGCCCTGCCCCTGCCCCGGCTTGCAGGGGGGCAGAATCCTGGGGGGCCTTGCCCGTGACGGTGCAGTTGCGGCCAGGCCTTTGTGGGCGCAGGACGGGATCGCCCCCAGCCCAGCTCGCCGCCCACCGCCCGCCTCGCCGGCCCCCGAAAAGGTCCGGCAAGTCCCCCTCTAGGGCAGGGGGAGGGGAGCCGGAGAGACGAGCAGAGTGCTCAGTGATGGGGAGAGGGCAGGGGGGACGAGCTGAAAAGGGGATGGGTGTGAGAGCTGGGCAGCGAGGGAAGGGATTACAGCAGGGTGAGAGCGGCGGGGCAGCCGGGAACCGGGGAGAAAGAGAAAGCCGTGTCGGGTCAGGGGCAAGATCTGCCTCCTGTGAGCCGGTGCAGCAACCACGCACAGGCAGGAGCAGCAGGCTATATAGGAAAAACTGCAGTAGGATGACTTAGCCAGGCAGGCTGATTGCTAGCTGAAAGAAGAAACAGACACACTTGGGTTAAGTGGCATATATTTCTCACTGTCACCTATGTATCCCACAAAAAAGACCTCAGCCTCTTCCTTCTTCCTATTCAGATTTAGGATTCGCAAGCAGTAAATTCGGCTTTTAGTCATAACACCTCTCTCCCACCACCCACCCACCCCTTTCCTTGCATTTTCACTCTGAGTCATCTCCAACACCGGTGCCTGCCTACTGCTCCCTTCCAGGGTTTCACGGCCTCATCTGGGGCTTCAGCAGCTTCCAGCTCACCCTCCCTTCTCTCTCTTCCTCCCTCCCTGCCATTTGGCTGCTTCCAAATGTATCCCACTTCAGTGAGTTGGTCTGGAGTGCCAGCGCACCCACAGCTTCGCCTCCTTCCCTACTAGCCATAGTAGTGTGCCGATAAATAGCATCCAAAGACCGGCAAAGGAGTACAGGGTGTAGCTAAACATGACATTACATTCCTCCCTCTTTTTAAAGAGCTTCTTTATCTGGACACGTCAGGCTAATCAGGAGTTTTTTATCAAGCTAGAAGACCGGGCTGTTGACACTTTCCTCCTTCCACTGAGGGCAGCTCACGATTCCTGGCAGCGAGCACTTGTTTGGAGCATGCAGGGTCAATGCAGAGAGAGAGAGAGGTACCGCTGCAGTGGGAAGACCTTCCAGTTTCCTCCAGCCCTGTGGTTTTGAGACAGGACTGCGTGCTGCTGGTGCTGTGGAGAGCTGGCAGGCACAGGCTTCCGGCAGGCAACAGGTTATCCATAGCTGTGTGCTGAGAGATGGAGGCGCTCGGTGCTCGCCTGCTCCCCTCCAGCCTCCAGCCGCTGCTGCCCAGCCTAAAATCAGGTGCTGATGTCCTTTTTCACAGCCGAGAGAAAGCAAATAAGCAAAGGTGTGTGAGTGTGTGTGTGTGTGTGTGTGTACAGAAAAGGAAGAGGGGGCTAGCAAACATGGATTCAAGATTTTCCTCTCCCCAGTGGCTGTGCAGAGGAATGAAAGGTCTGCGTCAAGGTAAGGAGCCCTAATCCAGCCAGAGTGGTACACTCCACTCTGGGGAAGAGAAGTGGGGGTTGGGAGGTGGAGGGGCCAGAGGACAGAGTGCAAGATGGGGAAGAAGCAGGGAGACAAAAGGGAGCACGAAAAGAAGGCTCTCGTTCCTTTCCCTCCCCTCCTCCCTCCTCGGGGTGGGCTGAGAAATTTCTAATCAGCACTTTCAGTCCCGTTCCTCCCAGCAGTAATTCCTCTCTGTCCTTTGTTTGTCTTTAATTTTTGGCTCTTGCATTTATCTTTGGTTTTGCGCATTGTGAGTTCTTCCAGCAATTGCAAAAAATCCTTTGTGAGGTACAATGGATTTAGTTTGGCTTCTCCCCCTCCTGTCGTGCTCTCCCACGTGCCTAAAGCGAGTGTTTTAATAACAACTGCAAACGGATGAAGAGCAGGTCATTCTTTATTCCTTCCCGTGAGGTCACACGGGTTAAGATATGTGTGGGACTGTGCTCTCATTCTATAAAAAGAAGATACAATTTGCCAAGTATCCTTAGTCCCTGTGTAAAGCCTGTTCTTGTAAATTACCAATTGCAGCTTGATTATGGAATGAACCCTCCCTCGTGTTTACCATGTTCTTATTAATGTTGTCATTTCTAATGCATTTAAAACAAGAGCATAGTGCTGCACTGGAGGCTGAACTCCAGTTTTATGTACAGAACAAGCAGATCAAATTTTTTCTGCCACACAACTTGGGCTAAGCTTGGAAAAATTACAATTAGAAGACTGTCCACATTATAATGGGATCTCTTCTTCCTGATAAGTACTTTTCCACCAGTAATTTAGCACTCAGTCCCTGTATGCTATTGCTGTACCTGTTCTTTCCCTGCCATAGTTCAGGAGGGCAGGCAGAGGGGGCATGCTGGAGCACAGCTGTGCTTTGCTGTTTCTGGCCAGCTGATCACACTTCTTGGGAAGGCAGAGAAATGGTTGGACTATTTTACTTGTCTTGATTTAAAGTGTTCATCTGAGTCCCCTTGCCTGGCTTCACAGAGCATAAGTGTAGCATAACTGGGAAGAAATCTCATGTTTTTCTTTGTATTCCTGTGAGGTTACCTTGAGTGAGACTGGCAGCACTGGAAATCCCAATGCCATCCCAAGGACGGTATTGTGGCTTGGTATTACAAGGCTCAAAGAGACTCTTTCACATTTCTTTTGCTTTGCTCTCAAGCTTCTGATGAGTGGTGTTTCTGGGAATGATTTCTGGGATGCTGAACCAAGTCTAGGTCAGGAGGCATCTTACAGCTGTAACAGTTCTCAGACAGCAGTAGGACAGGGTGGGTTTGATCTGGTGGCCAGAGCTGAGATAATTCACCTGAGAGCATCCAGAGTGACTTTTGTGAATGTGTGTAAGGGGCTGTTGTGAGGGAGTGTAAGGAGCACAGGGAAGCTGTGAAGAGAATGAAGTGAGGAGCAGGGGGTGCCTGGGGAGAGCACCACAGAGAATGGGGAAGAGCAAGAAATAGTCCAATGTCTACTGCAGTCATTTTGCACAGCCTGGGCTGTCCTACATGGTTCTGTGAGGTTCTGTGCTGTGAGTGCTGGCTGTGCAAGGCCAGGCTTTTCTGCAGCTGCTTTGGGTTTTTCTCTTTCCAGGTTAAGTAGCTGGAGAGCTGAAATTCTTGGTTTTGCTATGGAGCTGTGAAAAACAGAGTCATGCTTTCACCTCAGCTGCAGCTGACTTGTTCAGGCATTGGTTTCTTGCTTCCAAAAAAAGTTGACAATTAGTGGTCACGTTGCTAAGAACATAAGTCTGATAGGAACCAGACCAAGACATCCAATTAATTTGTCATAAGGCACTTGACACAATCTGATGGTGATGGCTTTTGCTGATAAATTGCATGGGTTTGATTTAGCTCAACATGAGTAGGCAAGAACATCGAGTAGGCAAGAGCTCTCCATTAATTTTACACTCCATTCTGTTTACACTTCTCTTTATAATTTCTGACTTTCTGGTCTCAAAGCCGAGATCTTGCCTTTCCTCATTCAAGCTTGATCCACATGTGAAAGTGTGAATGGTGTGCCAGTCTCCAGCAGTGGGGGAGAGAACACTTTGAAATGATGGATAGTATCCAAGGTGCCAAAAACAACGATACTTTTGCCCAACAGTTATTTGGGAAGCGGTATAAGCTACCCTAAGGGCACTGTCTCTTACCAGTGAACGAATGCTTTTCTGCCAAAGCCCTGAGGTAAAGTCTAGGAGTGGCTTTCCCGAGGTGCTTGGTTCAGGACCCAGTGATTTCCACTCCCCTGTCTGGACAACCAGCACTCCTGTCAATAAAGGTAAATGGGGGATGCATTATTTGTACGTTCATAGAATCAGCTGCACTCCCTCAGGCAAGCAGTAGCATGAGCCAAATAACTGCAAACAAAGAGTTGGGATGTATGCACAGATAGGGAGACCCATGTGACCTGAAGAATAATATATGCTGCCTTCTCTTGGACTCAAGTCTTGTGTTCCAGAAAGGATGCAGCCTGAGATGTTCCACTGAACTACAGTATTTGGTCATTACTTCCAGGGTTTGGTGCTTCAGGTCAATTTTATTCTAACTACGTGATATTTAAGGTCCCCTCCAACCCAAGTCATTCTGTGATTCTCTTCCTAGAGGCTAAATGTGTAGAGAAGCTAAATCTTCCTGGGGTTCATTTCACCTCAAGGAGGCGTAGAGGCTTCTCTGGAGGTCAATGGCAAAGCAAGAGCCTCAGTTATCACCTCTCAATTGCCTTCTCTCTTGCTCAGGGAAGGCGCTTAGGAAGATCAGGCTCTTACAAATATCCCCTCTGTAATCGCTTCCTGGAATTTTCTTTAATCACCAGTGAAATGTATTAGTGATAGCTTGTGTGTAGTGTTGATTGCATAGTTTGAATGCATAATCTGAGGATAGTTTCAGGAAAGGAATCAGAGCAAGGAGACAAATGCACATTGCCAATTGAAACAGACAAACCCCATACAATTATATTTCGGAAGTGTGATTATTTTAAGTTCTTTCTCCGGGAGTGTGTATATATATATTTGTACAGACACACAAAACCATGGATTCTTTTTATCTTCTAAGAGCAAGGATAACTGTGTTTAGAAGATGCAATTGATTAATATTTTCAGACCTTTTTCTTTGGGTTTAGGAGAGCAATAAGGGAGGAAAGTAAGATAGTCATGTAGTCATGAGACTTCCAGGAGCTAGATTTATTTCTTGTGAAACTTGAAACATTGTGAAATTCACAATGAACAGGTTCCTTCTCTAGAGTGCAGGAATTGCATTTCCATGATGACTTTGAATTAAGGGCTAATTTTGCTCTGTCTGCATTAGTCAAAACATAGCACAACACAATTCCTTTTGTTTCTTTTTAGTCCTACTTGTACTAAACTAGACAAAGAGCTACCATGGTGCTGTCACTAAGCTTCTCATAATTTTTCACATATTTCAGTCTTTGTTTTTCTGCTGTATTAACAACTCAGGGTTCTGTCCTGTGATGCTTCTGAGGCTTTTATTGTGCTTCATTTTGAAGCCAGCAGTTTCTTCTTGAAGGTGAGGAAGTCCTGTAATTCCCATGCCTGGACATCACTGGTCAGTGTAAAGCCACCATCTTGTCTTCAGGCAGTCAAACATCCTGGTGGCCTTTTTGGTGGACACTGTTACAGCAGTGACATACTACATCAATCAATTTCAGTAATCCTTTTTTGGCAGAGGAAATAGCAGGTGTATAATTTCCCAGTTCAGCCATATATAATTATATATAATTTGACTTAAATAGATCGAAAGTTTCCTCTGCTCCAGTCTCCCAATCTGAGGCACTGTGTTGCTCTTAAATGCTATTCCTGGAAGGAATCTGAAAATAATACTTAAGAAGTTAATAAAGAGCTTGGGATAGGATATAGAAGATGCCAGATAATTTTCTGCACATCTCCAAAATGCTTTTCGGTAGAAAAAGAATTCCTGTATTTTCCCAAAAGCTGCTTTTCTTTTCTTGATATAGACATTCACATGGGGGTAGGGTGGGGAAAGTTAGTCAGATGAGAATTTGCTAAAGCTCAGCTAATCATTTATTAAAGCAGTCCCTGGCTTGCCAAACTCATTAATCTCATTAGCAGGGAAGGAGGGCTATGGTGCATGGTTAGCTGAGAGCACTGTGTTTACTAAGCAGCGTACTTGGTTCACAAGGGAAAGATTTAAATATTCAGTGTGTCACTGTTTTATCCCTGAAGCTGAGGTAACGTGATGAGTCACTTGATCAGCTCATGCCACATGCTGGCTTTGGCCTCAGTCTGGGAGGGGTCAGGCATGGAGCTGCCAGACACAGGTCTGACATGGACCCATTGGTTTTTCCGGATGTTGATCATGTTTCTTGCATTCAGGTGCAACTCAGAAAGTGTGAATCTCTAGAGAGGAAAAGATTAAACCACTTGGTTCACCTTGAGAAGCAAGTGGTGGTGTTCCCTTAGTGCCACATGGCCCCTATGCTTGGTCCCTGGGTAAAGGAAGCCTGGCAGAAATGTCCCAGCTGCCACTTCCTGAATAATCTCTTTGCCTGTGTCTTGGGAAAGTGCAGAAGCTGCCTCATTCCCCTGCCTGTCCTGTGGGAGACCTCAGCTGTGCTTGGTGGTACTCTGGAAAACAGCCACACTTCAGCATTTGGATTTGGGTCCAGGCACTTCTGGCAAAACTGATAACCTCCTGTGCAACTCCCACATGGCACAAGTGCAATGTGCAGGATGTCCTGCACTCATTATATGCATAATATAGCATTTCTGTGCAAATGCCAGAGCATCCTTGTGCTCCTCAAGCCTCCACATAGTAGTCCCCAAGGTCAAATCCTGCCTAGATTCATAAATCTCTTAGTATCAGTGACCACCTTGCCTCTCTGAAATAAGCTTGCCCCTATGTTCTGTCCATACTGTGTTTTCTTCTCCAATTGGGATTTATAAATTTCTTTGTGCTTTACAGTTTAGACAGTGATAACTTGTTGAATTTAACATTCACTGTTTTTCCAGCCTCTTCACTTTCCTTTGGTTCTGAATCCTGATCACGCAATCTCTGCTCACTTTTGCTTTTCAGGTCTGCAGCTGTCTCCAGCTTGACCTTGTCTCTTCATGGCTGCTGTTGTTACACAGTTGATGCATTTATTTCTCTCTGTCTGCTTCAAACTCTAGCACTTTAGTCTATGCCTTTTTTTCCCCCCATTCTAAAGATATCTCCTGTCATTTCACTTTCTTTTGCCAATTTCCATCTCTTTTCATCTCTGCTTTCTGGAGTGAGTGGGTTATTTTTGCTGACTCCATTTCCTCTCTTCTCTACATTTCTGAATCTCCTGCAACCTGACTGCAGCTCTTCGGACTTATTTTGACCTGGGCTGAGACACCTTCTCCAGCTTCTTCCAGCTGAATGCAAGCCTCCTGATTGTCATCCTGCTTATCTTTCTGCTTCTTATATTTGCTCTGCTATTTCATCCTTACTCTTTTTTTTCTTCTTTCTTGCATTTTCCCTTCTCTTCTACTGCTTCTTGATATCAGGAAGTCTTTCTTTGTCCTCAGTCTTTTCATTCCTCACTAAACTTCCCCAAGTCCACCAGTCCCTTCTCCAGATGTTGTGCAGACTTTCCTTTCTGCTTTGTTGTCTCGGGTGCTTCCTTGTATTTCCTCTTTCTCCCTGTTTTCCACCTGCTCTGGGCGAGGTGTGTGGTAACACTGACATGTTCTGTACTGAACCTGACTCCCTTTTTCCAGGGTTGTGTGAATGCTCTTGGACATTGCTGCCTCCAGCACAAGGAGGGAAGCGATGAAGGGCATGCAGAGGAGTTTTGGCCATATCCCTGTGGGTGGATGGAATGCCTCCCTCTCCCGAGGGCTGACATTGCTCACTGACTCTCCCTCAGCTACACAAGGATGTAGCAGAATCCCCTGCATCTTCTCTGGGGCCTCTATGCATCAGGTCCAGGCTGCAGCTCTCCTGTCAGCTGCTAGATAAACATTACATGTTGAGATCTCTCTCCTCCTGTGAATGTGAAAAACTTGAGGGTTTGGGCCCTTTTTCTCCACACCTCCTACATGGAGCGATTTCTCTCAGTGCTACTTGCCAGCCCTGGGAAGAGCTCTGTGATTTGGATCCACTCCTTCGTGCATCTCTGGAGTTTGGCACAAAGCAGACAGCACTAACTGGGCACCAGTGCAGAATGTGCTGGTCCAGGCACTGTGTGTTGCCTGACTTGTAAAGAGGAGGTGTGATGCCACTGAAATGGGGAGGGAGGTGACTTATTCTGAACTCAGGATGTGGCCCCTTGACTGACCTGCTGTGAAAGTGGAGCATGGCCATCCCTAAAATATCTCTTTCTTGTATTTGAACCTGCCACAGAAGCTGTGAATCATCACACCATTGTGTTAGGGCTTCTACAGCATAAGGATGCTACATTTGAGCCTTCAGCCCCTTCATGCTGTGTTTTTCTTTGTGACTGTAAGCTATGAAAAAACAAACTTATTTCTGCTGCCAACATCCGTGCTTACATGCACTGAGTGGTGCGCCCTAGCACCTGAAACAGATGGACAATTTTATGTATGTGGGGAGAATGATGCTGTGATAAAATGCAGTAGCTCCCTCTTCAAGCAGTGCCAAGGTGTATGATACTCATGTTTTTTGTCTTCTAGCTGAGGTGGAAGGGTTGCAGGTCACTGTGCCTGAGAAGAAGAAGGTGGCCATGTTATTTCAGCCTGCGCTGCTTCGCTGCCATTTCTCTACTTCTTCCACCCAACCAGCTGTGGTACAGTGGAGGTACAAATCCTACTGCCAGGACCGGATGGGAGAAGCTCTGGGTATGGTGACTTCTGGTTTGCAAACAATGAGCAAGAGGAACCTGGACTGGGATCCCTACCTGGACTGTGTGGACAGCAGGAGGACGGTGCGTGTCGTGGCCTCCAAACAGGGATCTGCCATCACCATAGGAGACTTCTATAAGGAAAGAGATGTCAGCATTGTCCATGGTAACTCTCCTACCCCAGTGGTGCATGGTGGGGGCTGGAATGAACCTGTAGCAATTTGGGATACTGGAGTCTGGCAGTAATTGCTCAGTTGGCTCCCTCAGAAAAGGCTGTGGGAAGGGAGCTGTTGTCTGTCAGACATTTAGGATTCAGCCAACCAATACTAGACCCAAAGGTAATTTGGCACTTCCCTTCAATTGACTCCATGTTAGGTCTTCAATTCAAATACAGAATCCTTTTTGCCCTTCCATGAAGTGGAAGCTTTTTATTCCTGACTTCTGCATATTGCTGTGTATGTAGATTTTCTTAAGCAAAGGGGTGGCAGCAAGAGAGATACAAATTCAGTCTCTGCAGGATAGGATTTTCTTGCTTGCAAATACCACTGGTGTTTTCCTAGTTCTGAAATACCAAGATTATCCTAGATCTCATGTTTGCTCAGCCGCAGACTTCACCAGCTTACCCTGTCATGAACCTAAACCCACACAGCCTTGGGCAGAGTGAAAGGAAGAGATTTCCATGGGGCAAAGTCAGATTGGGTGGAGATGGAGAACGACAGGGGCCTTAAACATTTTTATCTGGAAGGCTGTGTGAGGCTTTGTCCCTCAAAACTACAGGGTGTCCAGCTGACTGGGGTGACCATCTTGCCAGAAGTGGAGACTCCTTGGTGTGGAGAGCATGTGATCAGCCTCACAAGAGGGAGTGTTTTCCTTTGTCTCTGTGTAACCTCTTCACAAATGACAGAGGTGCTGTAGAGGAGACACTGGCTAAGCCCTTCTTTCATGTCTTTTCGTGTACAGCGTTGGTAGCCCAGCCTAAGGTGACAGGAAGGACAGAGAGAGACATTAGTGACCTCTTCTGCTCTGGGCACTTGCAGAGTGAGGTGCCTCTGCAGCATTATCTGTCTTCCCACCTACAGCTACAAGTCCTAAGCCTGTTTGTTTTTCCTGAATACTGTGAGATTCTGGATAAGGTTAACCCCTCTTCTTAGTAAGGAAAGGAAATGGGTTTGGGACACAGAGATGAATGCAGTGCATTCAACACTCCATCCTTCCTGGAAGTGTTGGGGGGAAAGCCTGACTTTTCTTTTTTCGCCTTCCAGATGCAGACCTGCAGATTGGGAAGTTGATGTGGGGAGACAGTGGCCTCTATTACTGCCTTATTATCACACCAGATGATGTGGAGGGCAAGAATGAAGAATCAGTGGAGCTGCTTGTGCTTGGTGAGGCCTCTTGCCGGGCTGCTTTTTCGGCAGATACCTGATGCATCTTTCCGCCTGCTCTCTCGATGTGTCTCCATCCCCGTGCACTGTATTACTATGGGTGTAAGAGCTATGTAAAACAGTCCCTGCAGCACTGTCACCGTTGCCTTGCACCTTGTGCAGTCATTCACACCTAGGCAAAGTGGGTGGCAAATGCTACCAAACCAGAATAGTAATGTTTACACCCACACTGCTCACACGTTACACAGGCGTAAATGACTGCAGAAAGTGCGCGGCTATGGAAAGGCAGAACCCTTGTTTTTTAAGGGATAAAACAAAAAACTTGCAGCAAAATGAACATTTGAGACAAGAGTCTTTTAACAGCAGACACCCAGAAGACATCAGATCCTGTGATTTTTGTAGTCCTCATCCCACTCTTCTGACCTGTGAGCATGTCAAGAAGCACTGTGTTGAATGTGTCGGTTTGGGAGATTTTTTTGTGTGCCTAATAACACTTGTCCAGTTAGAAGTGCAGTTGCACAGTCATCCTAACCAGGTCTGAGCTGGTGCTTCCACTAACAGGACCTATCCACTCTGTGGTGTGTGTGCTTGGCTCTCTTTCTCTCAAACTCCCTTGAGCAGTGTGCTGAGCAGGATCAGTTTTTTCCCTGTTTGCAGGGTTTGCTTTCAGTGGTGGCTTCCATGATACAACTCACTCTAAAGGTCAGAAAAGCAGCCATTCCAGCTAGAGCAGAAAAGCAGAGTGGAATGGGCCTTTCAGGAACTTTTGTTGACAAGCCTGGAGACAGCTGTAGTACTTCAACCCTAGATGCCCCAGGACGGTAGGCTGAGTTTTCCCCAGTTTATCTTAAGACCTCACCATGGCTCTTGTGTGTACAGATCTGTGCATCCTGTGATGGAAATATTAAAAAGCTTGGGTTGATAGTGTGTAGGTGATCTGTGGAGGTGGACAATAGAAGACATCTGTCAAGCATTCCCTTCATCTCCTGCCAAAGGCCAGAATTTAATTGGTATTTATATTTGGAGCTGGAGTTATCATCACCAAGTAAACCAGACTGAATGGGTGAGTGGCTGTCACAGTGCCATTGTCTCTCCTTTCCCCTTTAATGTCAGTCAAACAATGGACAGTTGGAGTGGAAAGTCAGAAAGTGGAAGGTCAGTCTGGTCACTCCAGAGAACAGTGTCACACGTCTGTGTAAATCCACAGTGTGACTGTGTATCATCTGCCACTTAGTAACAGGCCCAGGACCCACCTGTGTGAGTTCAGGTGAGGTTATCTCTGCCAGCTGACAGTGTTAGAATCCTCTCCTGAGGTCCTGTGTCTGTGTAGTGATGAGCTGGTGAATTTTTGTCCCTTCTTCACCTTCCTGTCTAGGATTTGGTGTCTTCCTCTTGTGTATCTACAACTGTGCTCAGACACAAGTGATGAAATAGTGCCATGGTAACAGGAAGAATCGGGTTTTCAGTGTATACGGAAGACTGTGGGGAGAAAACACAGAAATCCCCTCCTCTGGAGCTGGCTTGATGTCTCTGCTCCCATTTCATTGTGGTTATGTTGGGGGGCATGTGTAGCTTAGGCTGCATTACCCTTGACCACATCTGCTTTTCTGTTTGGCCTCTGTGTCTGACCTTGCACTTTTTGCAGCTCTCTGCCAAGTTTGGCAGCAGCATGAAAGCAGACTTGTCGTGGGCTTACTTCTGCCTCATGCTGTTAGGCAGCTTCTGTATATTGCTTTTCCTGGGTAGAGGCAGCATTTCAGCTTTTGGTGCAATTCCAGGGTTACCTACCTGTTTTCCTCCTTCCCTCTCTTCCCCTTCCCACCTTAATATTTTCCTTCTGCCTTTGCTGTTACTTTTTCTTTGTTTTCCTTTATCTCTCCCTATTGATGGCTAAAGGATGAAGCACCCAGTGATGAAAATACCATTTCTTAATATTCTGCATATTCTGGGATGTTTTTTGTTCCATCCCACTGCTTGGAGGGAGACACTGAATACAGATTGTAGGTTGTAGCAATTTTACAGTCCTAGGGGACATGTGGTAAAAGGGTTTTGTTTGCTGTTCTGCTGCTTTTTGGGTGGAACCCAGATTGCCTGTTAGGGAGGTTGGAGCAGCAGAGGGATAGTGTGTGAGATGCTACAATTCCCAGAGCACATTGCTGTTTGCTCCCTGCTGACAGTGGTCTCTCAGATAAAATTTACATTGCTTATTTTGGGGTTGCTGCGTGATTTCCAGCATAAATTAGAATTTTGAATAGAGCAGGGGTTCTACCCACTCTTGTTAACCTTGGGGTGACAGAAAAATCAAAATGGAAAAGGAAATAGGAAAATATCCCTTCTAGTGGTTTAATATTAATGTCAGGATGAAAGGGCAGTTTAATATCACGTTGAAATTGCAAAAGGACTGAGAGGCAAAAATGGTAGATATCATATTAATAGCATCAATAAATTCATGGAAGTCTGTTTAGCTAAAAGTGGAGGGTCTTGCTTTTATACAGTGAATCATACCATGAAAAATTGATCAAAAGGCACTTTATCATGACTTAGAGCAAAATCAAAAACCTGGGCAAATTACAGTATTTCTTTTTCTTTCTTAGGAAAGTGATCACAGAGATCTGTAGTCACCTCTTAAGTAGCCAGGGAGCCTGTGCCACGATGGGATTGCATGTTGGGTTTTGTTACCTGGCTGTGTCATGTTGACACGCAGAGCTGCTGCTCAGCTCTGGGTAACAGCAGAGAATCCCATGTGCTGTCCTTACGTCACGCTTGTTTCAGAAAAGCACACAAGCATTTATTTATATCCATTTCTGCTCAGCAAAGCTGATAGGATTTGTAAAGCATACCTGATGTTAAGCATGTGCTTATTATGTACTTTGCTGAAAAGACCATTCTGTATCTTCTGCTTAGTCAGGGACCCTCTCTAAGGGAATCAGTGCAGGTGAGGGAAGAGGGGTAGCAGCTTCTGCCTCTGGAACACAGGAGACTGACTGGTAGACTGACTTACTCCTGTAGAGTAAGGAGAGAATTGAAATTTAAAAAATACTATTACATATTTGTTATATTTTAAAAAATATTCTTTAGTCCTTATTACTCTCTCCATCTGTCTGAAAGGAGGTTGTAGCAAGGTGGGGGCTCGTCCTCAAGGTGTGCCGGGGAGGGGCTCAGGTTGGACATCAAAAGGAATTTCTTCCCAGAAGTGTTGGTTAAACATGGGAATGGGCTGCCAGGGAGGTGTTGAAACACTGTAGTGTTTAAAAAAGACTGGATATGGTACTCAGTTCCATGGTCTGGTGGTGTTTGGTCACAGGTTACTCAATGATCTCAGAGATCTTTAACAACCTAAACGATTCTGTGATATATGTGCATTTTGATGGCATTTGGAATCTCCAAACAGGATGTGTAGTGTGCTGGAAACTGTATGAACTCTGCTTCTGCAGACTAGTCCAGAGCTTAGCAATTCCCCAGAAGGAATCAAGTGATGCTCCCTGCACTTGTGTTTTATTAGAAAAGGAGAGCCTTTGCTGACATTACAGCTGGGCTAATGAATCCATTTGCAACTTTATGCATTTTATTTTTTAAACTTTTTAATGTGATTGAATCTAAAAGGCTGAATCCTAAATTGAAGCAGGTCTATGTTTCTGTTGTAGTAGCTGGCAGCTAATGTCCTGCTTCTTGAAACACAGACAGTGCTATTAATCATATTGTTATTTGTAGCCCCTGTGTATTGCTTTTTCATATGAGAATGTCAATGGGCTTCAGTAAAGTAATTTATTGCAGCCTTTCTGAAGGGAACTGCACGTGTACCAGTGCAGGGATGCAGTGTGCCTGGAGTAACCTTCAAACCAGAGGTACAGTGCGGTGTCAGTGTCATCCTAGCTTCGTGTCACCAGCTAACATCAGGAGCCAGTGCAGCTTCATTGCATGGCATTGCACAGCACCCAATAAGCCTCCCCAAGGGCCAGATCTTACTAACCAGGTGCAGAGACCTATGGAAGCTGCTACACTGCTCCCTTCCCAAGCTGGAACAGCTACAGAGTAGTGCCTGTATATACAGCTCAGCACAGCTGGGCACCCTGGAACACATAGGTCTGTGCAAGCTTGGTGATGTTTGCAATCTGAGATCTAACATAGCTTAGAAGCTATGAAGACATGCTTCACAAAACAGTGGCTCCATTCCCCAGGACCTGTCAAGTGTCTGGAAAAGGCCAGAAAGTATTCCACTAATCCCAGTTGTTGGTTTGACGCTTTGGTTAGTGATTCATGTGCTTTGCTAGACAGCTATTGCCTGCTTTCCTTTTCCATCCAATTCAGCAGCTAATATTACAGAAACCGTGTATCAGTGAAATATTATTTTACAGTTAATCACAGAGTCATAGAGTCATTAAGGCTGGAGAAGAGACCTCCAAGATCACTGAGTTCAACCTTTGATTGAAGACCACCATCTCAACTAAACCATAATACTAAGTGCCATGTCCAGTTGTTTCTTGAACACTTCCAGGGATGATGGCTCCACTACCTCCTTGGGCAGCCCATTCCAGTGCTTAACCACCCTCTCAGTGACAAAATTCTTCCTGATGTCCAACCTGAAACTTCCCTGGCTCAGTTTGAGGCCATCTCCTCTCTTTATATTGCTTCTTCCCTGGGAGAGGAGGTTGACCCATCTTTCTACAGCCTCCTTTCAGGCAGTTGTAGAGAGTGGTAAGGTCCACCCTGAGCCTTCTTTTCTGCAAGTTAAATATCCTCAGCCACTCCTCATCAGACTTGTGCTGCAGATCCTTCCTCAGCTTCATTCCCTTCTCTGGACTCACTCCAGCACCTCAATGCTTTTCTCAGAGTGGGGGCCCCAGACATAAACACAGGACTTGAGGGGTCTCAGCAGTGCTGAGTACAGGAGTCCTGCTGGCCACACTATTCCTGATCTAGACCAGGATGCCATTGACCTCCTTGCCCACCTGGCCACACTCTGGCTGATGTTCAGCCACTTTTGACCAGCATCCCCAGAT